AATATGTATGCTGAGCAAATAATCAAAGAAGCTGGACTATATGAAGAAGAACAGGGCATCAGAATTGGAGGAAAACTCATTAAAAACCTGTGTTATGCAGATGACACAACCCTGCTTGCTCCAACTGAAGAGGACTTAAAGCACTTACTGACGAAGAACAAAGACCACAGCCTTCCGTATGGATTACACCTCAATATAAAGACTACAAAAATCCTCACAACTGGACCAATAAACAACATCATGATAAACAGAGAAAAGACTGAAGTTATCAAGGATTTCAATTTTACTTGGATCCACAATCAACACCCAAGGTAGCAGCAGTCAAGAAATCAAAAGATGCATTGCATTGGGCAAATCTGCTGCAAAAGACCTCTATAAAGTGTTAAAAAGCAAAGACGTCACTTTAAGGACCAAGGTGTGCCTGACCCAAGCCATCCATGGTGTTTTCAATCACCTCATATGCATGCAAAAGCTGGACAAGAATAAGGAAGACGGAAGAAGAACTGATGCCTTTGAATTATGATGTAGGCGAAGAATATTAAATACACCACAGACTGCCAGAAGAACGAACAAATCTGTCTTGAAGAAGTACAGCCAGAATACTCCTTAGAAGCAAGGATGGCGAGACTTCATCTCACGTAATTTGGACATGTTATCAGGAAGGACCCGTCCCTGGAGAAGGACATAATGCTTGGTAAAGTAGAGGGTCAGAGAAAAAGAGAAAGACCCTCAAGGAGATGGACTGACACAATGTCTGCAACAATGGGCTCAAGAATAACAAGGACTGTGAAGATGGCACAGGACCAGGCAGTGTTTCGTTCTGTAGTACACAGGGTTGCTATGAGTTGGAATCGACTGGTGGCACCTAACAATGACAGGGCTGTTTCTCCCAATCGTCCTGATGAACATATCTTATTTTACACATAAATTCTAACAAGAGTCTGTTCGACTTTCTTTAGTTTCCGAAGCCAAAGAAGTGAGCGATGGAATGGGGGAAGGCCCACATGAAGGAGATGATACGGGGAAATCACATATGGCAGCTGGTGCACGCCAATGAAAGAAGAAAAAAAAGAACTAAAAACAGGCAGATGAAGACAACTTCTAGTCAACCTGGCTGCCTGTGCATCCACATTTACCTCTGATTCCTCCCAAACACTATTAAAGAAACATGGAACACACGAATCATCACTTATCAACATGGTTAGGTTCCAAAGACCAGGTTATGAGAAAATCAGCATTACTCAAAAATGGAGGATGACCACACCATTACATAACTGCCAAATTACATCATCACATAAGTGCCAAGTTACGTCATTACATAATTGCCAAATTACATCACTACATAACTGCCAAACCATTGAGAATCATGGCCCAGCCAAGCTGACACATAACCTTCACAACCATCACATCCAGTGTTACTCTTGCCTCGCACCTTGGCATTTGTTACTGCCAGATGTAAGTCATCAATGCACAAAATTGTTGGATAGCAGATTTTTTACTATTGTTGTAAACGCGAACTGTTGGATAAAGGGGTAGTCGATAGTGAGAAGTAGGTGTATATAAATCCAGAAAGACAAGGGTAGCAGGAGAAGAACAATGGCACACACATAATGTCAACCAAAGTTTGGAAGATAACAGTAGTGGGTACAGTGGCAAATAACCTAGCATGGCAGATTAAGCTGAAACCCAAAGCCACTGCAGGACTCAGAGTGGCTCATGAAGCAGAGGGGCCAGAATTCCAGACCCTCAGCTTCACCCCAGGTAGCTGGCCTGCTCCCTCTCCCAGGACAGAGAGCTCCAGAGCCAGGGACCTGGCAGAGGCAGGGACGTGGCACCATTCTGAGTGGGGAGCTTAAGCAGCAGCCTACGTGCTGAGTCCTGGGCCATCCTCAGGCCCCTTCCCTGACTTGGCTCCCCAAATTCTCGCACCCAGAGGTATACTACGAAGGCAGGAAAGGGTAAGGCTTGCCTCTGGAAAATGACCCAGAGACTGCCTCACAACACGGGCGCCTGCGTGAAGTCCTCCAGTGGCCGCCCCCACACAGCATCCAGTCGTCGTTTCTGTGCCCATTTAAGACACAGGAGTGAACAGCTAAGGCCAGTTATTATTAGAGGCCGTCAGGAAAGTCTCTGCTAAAAAAGATGCCAAGATAAAAAAAAATTTTAAATGCAGGGGACAGAAGAAAAGCAATGATTATACAGCGAGGAAAAGAACTGTATACATAAAATTAAAAAAACACAACGTTATCAAGCAAAAACACTCAGAGAAGAAACAACTCTTGAACATTAAAATCATTACAGAAGAAATTAAAAATTCAGTAGAAGTGTTAGGAGATGTAGTTGAGAAAAGCTCTTAAAAAGTAAAACAAAAAGAAAAGAGCAGAAGAAAACTTGGAGGAGGCACACATGTCAGAGCAGACCTGTGCTCCATAGGGTTTTCAATAGCTGATTTTTTGGATGTAGATCACCAGGCCTTTCTTCCAAGGTGCCTCTGGGTGGACTTGAGCTGCCAACCTTTCGGTTAGCAGCTGAGCGCATTAACTGTCTGCACCACCTAGGGACTCAGAATAGCCATGGAGCTGCCTGAAGTTTTATCCAGGAGAACTATATAGAGTTATGGTGGGGAGACACAAAGTAGCCCTCTGGCTCCATTCCAGAAGTCCCGCCCTCTTTGAGATACAATTACAATGAGATGAGCTCTGAACCAAGCCCCAACTCCAGGCTTCCCACAGCTGGACTCTGAGCATTCCCATTTGCTCTAAACAAGTAATCATCAAAATCTGGAGGCATCCTTTCACCCCATGATTCAGCCAGCACTGTCCAGCACTTGCCCAGTTCACAGACACACACACCCCACAGTTCAGTGGAGGCGAAGTGTGTCCGAACCCTGGCTCTGACAGTGTGACCACCGGTAACAGGTTACCTGAGTCTCCGTTTCCTCACCCGTGCAGTGTGCACTCTGAGGCTGTGGGCTGCCAGCTTTCTGCTCGCCATTCTTGATGACTTCACTGACGCTCGTAATGAAGCATCAAACACCCAGAGAAACGACCTTTGCTTTATAAATAAATGATCTCAATAAGCCCTAACTCTTTGACCCTAATATGTGTTCCTAATACTCCAGCAGAAAAAACCAACCTGCTACTGCCCACACCTGCCTCGTGCTCTTGCATGAAGCTGCACTCTGGCGAGGGCTGCACCCACTGCTTGGGCACCATGTGCATGCCATCCACACTAGTCACTGCCCACACCTGCCCATCCAGACCGTGAGCACCTGCCAGCTGGGCTCTGTCGTAGCCATCTCTATCCTGAGCGTCTAGGACAGTCCTTCTACCTCAGAGACACTCAGTGAACGCCTGGCCCACGAATGTCTGAATGAAGAAAAGCAGGCCATGTGAGGTATTAAAGAACTATCATTACTTCCATTCTACCTATGAGGCAGCTTTCGCTCCCTACTGAGACAAAACCAGCTGAGGACGAAGCAGGAACAAAGACCAGCGCCCTCCTGCATCATGGGGAGGACGGCTGACTGCCGGGTCAGACAACTCACCGCAGGCTGAGCAGCTGTAGGGCCGCTCCCCTGTGTGCCGAATCCGGTGCTTCACCAGCTTCCTCTGCATGTTGAAAGACTTCCCACACTCATCGCAGGTGAAGACTTTGTCAGCAGTGTGTGTCTTCTTGTGCTCCTTCAAATTACTGAAGTTACTAAACCCTGGAGAGACCAGAAGAGGTGCGAAGGTGAAGGGCTGAGGACATTTTAATCAGTCATCTTCAAGCAGAAAAGCAAAGACTCAGCGATACCTCGGCCACAGATGTCGCACAGGTGTGGTTTTTCTCCTGAGTGGATGATGATGTGACGCTGGACGTCCCCAGAGGCGGCAAACCTGCAATGCAATGTGAAAATTCAACCCAGAGCATTCAGACATCATGGTGAGCCTTTGTAATTGCAAGTCACTGAGGGAGGGAGGAGCCGCTCCCTACATCACTTCAGAATGTCATCAAAGTGGCCGGAGTTCATTCGAAGTGAATATTAAAAATCGTTATTTTTGTCTTTTTTAAAGGAAAATAGAAAACGATGCAAGTGTTCTGTTTTTAAGAAAAATCTTTCTATCTAGTTTCATTAATCTTTCCTCCTCAGTTTTACAGCACAAGATCAGACACTGTCTGGTTTAGCATCGTGAGTGGCTATGGCGACAGAAAAGAGAGTAGACTCTGGAGCTTGTGAGTTCAGAGCAAAGCGAGGCCCCTTGTGCCCTTGTCGTCCGGCCGGCGCAGCTGGGACCCAGAGGGACAGCATCTCAGCACTGTGGTGCCAGCCAACGAGGACAACCTCTAAAGGGCCCTGGGCAAACTCTGGCAGGGTCACAGCAGGTGCAAGCCTGGTCCCTTTCACCACAAGGTGAAGTGCAAGTAGGAGCTCCAGTGTTTCACGAACCAAGACATAAGGCTGTAAGGTTTTTGAGAAAATTCTGCCCCCTCCACCACCCTGAGGATCCCTACAGAATGCGCGCTCTCTCCTACTCTCTATGGGAGTCACGATGGAGATTCAATGACATAAGTCCTAAAATCAATCAACAAAGGGAAAGCAAGTGAAGAAAGAAACCAAGTGTTTATTCAGCAGCTGCCACATGCCAGGAGACAAGCTGGATGCCTGAATAAACATCATCTCAGTCACTCCTCTCCACAACACTGTAAGGCAGGCATTTGCATCTCCCCTTTCCAGGTGGGGAAGCCGAATTCAGAGACTGTCACTAACTTCTCTAAGGTAGTAAGTCCCAGGCCCCAGATGTGGAAAGCTATGCTCCTTCCATTTCACCACGCTCCACAGCAGGATAATTCACTATGTCTCAGGGGAGATGTTAAGATGTTACATATGGTTATGATTTTAAATGCATGCCTCACTTTTAAATGGAGTTCAGAAGGCTCACAGTTAAAACGCTCTGCAAAATAAGACATTTGAGGGGCACAAGAAAAGCGACACCATCCAAAGCAGCAGGTCTGTGCTACTAGGTGTCTCAAACGAGGGGTTTTCAACACCTGGCACTGAACATGGCTTTCCGTAATCATGCAGCTAAGACCAAGAGGGAGGCATGTTTGGCTATGCAGCTCTTCCTTCCGGTTTTCTACCACCTGCAGAGACAAGTCTCTTCCCAGCGATGAATCAAGAGCTGTCTCTCCCTCTGGCATCCATCCCTGCAGCCCATGCTGCAGAACTGATGAGAGGACTGACTGACCACAGTGACTCTTAATGGCCCCCAGGCCTGTCTCTCCCCACCAGACTCAAGAGCAGGAACTTGGCAGAGGCAGAGAGTCTGTACTGTTAAATTTTATGTTCCCATCACAGCACTCAGCATACAGGTGGTTCCGAATAAAGGCTGAATGACTATGTATCCAGGGCAGGTAGGAAGCTCTGTGACTAGCACCATCCTGGGTGATGCCTACTATCCTAGCACAGCCATGAGATGACATGGGTGGAGGGCAGAGCATATGGACCCTGATATTTAGCCCAGGTGACGGGGAAGGGGGCCAAGGCTGCAGCCTGTGTGCACAGAGAAGCAGGTGATCTTATTTATACCACACAGCATAGAAGAATCAAACTGCCACATATCATTCCATCTCAAGTACAAGGCCCTCTGTCACCAATTCTCACTTCCCAAGTCAAAATCTGACCCACCCACCAGGCTTAGCTTCAGCTTCCCTGCTCCCACACAGCCCTTCGGGATCTGTGACCATGGCCCTTCTTACCCCTTCCCTCTGAAGTACAGTCATTCAGGTTGAACATTTCATCTCTACTAGACAGTGACCTCCTTGGGGGCATTAGTCTATCTGAATAGGCATTTGCAGAATGAATGAACATTTTAGTATAAAATAATTTTGTTCCATATGAAATCCCACTTCCTTCCTAAGCCTCCTGTCCTAGATTTTCTTTCTTGTGATTAACCTCTCTATATTTTTTATTATTATTCTCATGTGTGTCACATGGAAAGCCAGGGTTTAAGTTTACCTGCATTCCTCAGGGGTAGAGTAAGCCCATACGTAGCATGTGTGCGAGCCAGAGCTGCAGAGAACAGGGATTTTCCAAGATATTCAGACTCTTACGCACATAAGAAGCAGCCTAGCACTGACCTCTTTCCACAGATCTCGCAGATGTACGGTTTTTCACCAGAATGCCGACGTAAGTGAGTCTGCAAGTTACCTGCCTACAAAAAGAGGGAAAGAAAAAAACACACCAATAAGTCAAAGGGTTTTTTTTTTGTTTTTTTTAAGGTTTTATACATTTAAAAGGAAAACGGACAGATCTCTCCAGGTTCCAGTCTGACTTCCAAATGAAGAGCAGATGAACACAATTTCTGAGAAACCATGTGCAAGGGCCAGGTTCTAATACTAGGGGTGGCAGCTGCCCAGCAAGCTGCTGGACAGGTGATGCATTTAAATTCTGTACCCCTGAGCCAAAGTCATCCCTGGAGCCCTGCGTGTGCCTTATCTCAGGAACATCTCTTTGCACACACTTTTGCGGTGCCTCCTCTCAGACGGGCCCCAGAGCACTGTGGAGGCTGTTCTGGTGGTCACTAAGCCTCCATTTTAAATGGACCTCAATATATTTCTCTCTTATATTTTTTTAACTTAGACCATCTATCCACGTGAAAGAATTCTTTGAAAAGTGGCACTTGTACATGGTAATTGCAATATTTCTCATTTCTTTCTAAACAGCATGATTTTGTTTATAAAGAAAGCTGGACGTTTCCAAAAAAGTGAGTCCTCTGGCAGCACAGCTGGTCCTTTCCACCTGACAGGTCTGTATTTAACCTCTGTACAAATCAAGTCAGCAGCACCACGGCAGACATTAAGTTCATGGCCTTTCAGGTTCCTAATTTCTGAACTAGCAAGGCTTTACAAAAAAACCACTTATTTAAATGGCAATCATAAGATAGGTTTTCATGTGCTAATCAACAGGAACTTAATATTAAATTGCTTACAGTACAGTGAAATTAAAACTGCAAACGCCTTGGATGTTTAGAAGGCTACTTGCTAATGTTTCAGATGAGGATTTGGAAACAAAGTTTCCCATTGCTGTAATTTAATTGTCTCAATCTGCCATTTCCCTCATTTAATTTTTTACAGGGTTCTGTTGCAAAAAAAAGGAGCCCTGGTGGCACAGGGGTTAAGTGCTTGCCTGCTAACCAGAAGGTCAGCAGTTTGAACCCACCAGCTCCTCTGTGGGAGAAAGATGCGGCAGTCTGCTTTCATAAAGATTACAGTCTTGGAAACTGTACAGGGCAGTTTTACTCTGTCCTATAGGGTCACTATGAGTTGGAATCGACTCAACAGTTTTTTGGGGGGTCTGAGTTGCAAAGACAGAACAAAAACCCCTGAAATGAACAAATACAGGCCAAGAGTAGTAATGTGCGGGCAGTGTACACAGAGATGAGCCCGAAAAGGGGAATAAATGATAACGGCAAACCAACAAACTATGCCTTTTCAAGTCTGCAAACTACATTTTAAAGAAAATGCGAACACAGTTTATGGTTATAGGTTTGAAGATGAGTCTGAAGTCTATCCATGAATGGAAACTTCCAAGTATTAAAAAATGTCACCCTGATACAGCTCCAACAAGGAAGAAAAGGCCTGGTGATTTGCTTCTGTTAACATTACAGCCAAGAAAACCATGTGGAACAGTTCCACTCTGTAACACATGGGGTCGCCATGGTTGGAATCAACTTAACAGCAACTAATAACAACATCAGGTATAATATTCCTATCAGACTCTGGGAAACACAGTTAGATACCACATTTTAGACTCAAATATGGCTTAGAAAAGACTAAGGTTTATTTTAGACAACCAAACAGAAAGAATTTGGCAAAACTTTGGAAAATATGTAGCTTTTTACAGAATGACTACTAGTAACAGTAATAAAACAACAAATATTAACAGCAATACACACTTGTTGGAATTCTAACTTGGGCTATGCACCCTTAGGCCTTTACATTCATTATCAAATTAGCCTGGGTAGTTGATAATGTCATCTCTATTTTCTAGATGAAAAACTGAGATTCAATACAAAAAGTTACTTGCCACAGTTACATAGCAAATACTTGCTTGGGCCAGAAATTAATACTGGGCTTCTATGAGTCTCAATTTGTCTCCTACACCTCAGGAAAACCTGAGAACACGGAAATTTCTAACCTAGACATAACTAACCTACCATGCTCTGAATATTCAGTATGACAAAGAGTCGGCCACTCTGGAAACAGCTCATTTGAGTTCTTGCTGCTAAGACAGTACACCACTACCGTTTTACATGAGCCACTTCCAAATTTCAGAAAAGCTGATTAGTTAACACCCATCTACCCAACTGTTCAATTATACCTCTCTTATTTTATTTTTTAAAATATGTATTATGATTGAAATGCATTGAGTTAATATTTACCAAGGCTGCATTTTCCTCTTCTCAAAAACCATAATACACTGTTTTCAAAGCAAACGCAATCAAACTGTCTTCCACTTAATATTATTACTAACAGTAAAAACCATTTCAAGTGTTCTGTTAGCTGTATTTGATAAAAAGTGTGAAATCAGACTAAATTTAAAAAATGGAATAATTCAGACCAAAAAATACAAAAATACTCTCAGATAAAACTAAATCAGACAGCAAACTGAGGTCTACATTATTTTAGCTTTAGTCAAGTGTTTTTACTTTTGGTAAAATTTTGATATACTCTGTTGTTGCTGTTGGTGCCGTCGGGTCGGTTCCGACTCATAGCGACCCTACGTACAACAGAAGGAAACACTGCCCAGTACTGTGCCATCCTCATGATCATTGTTATGCTAAAGCCCATTGCTGCAGCCATTGTGTCAATCCATCTCCTTGAGGGTCTTCTTTTTCACTGACTCTCCATTTTACCAAGCATGATATCCTCCTGCTCCAGGGACTGGTCCCTCCTGATAACATGTCCAAACTATGTGAGACAAAGTCTTGCCATCCTCGCTTCTAAGGAGTATTCTGGCTGTACTTCTTCCAAGATAGATTTGTTCCTTCTTTTAGCACTCCATGGTATATTCAAGATTCTTCGCCAACACCATAATTCAAAGGCGTCAACTCTTCTTCAGTCGTCCTTATTCACTGTCCAGCTTTCACATGCATATGAGGTGACGGAAAACACCATGGCTTGGGTCAGGCGCACCTTAGTCCTCAAAGTGACATCTTTACTTTTTAACACTTTAAAGAGGTCTTTTGCAGCCGATTTGCCCAATGCAATGCATCGTTTGATTTCTTGACTGCTGCTTCCATGGGTGTTGACTGTGGATCCAAGTAAAATGAAATCCTTGGCAACTTCAATCCTTTCTCTATTTATCATGATGTTGCTTATTGGTCCAGTTGTGACGGTTCTGTGTTCTTTACGTTGAGGTGTAATCCATACTGAAGGCTGTGGTCTTTGATCTTCATCAGTAAGTACTTCAAGTCCTCTTCACTTGAAGCAAGAAGGTTTTGTCATCTGCATAATACAGGTTGTTAATGAGTCTTCCTCCAATCTTGATGCCCTGTTCTTCTTCATATAGTCCAGCTTCTCGAATTATTTGCTCAGCATACAGACTGAATAAATATGGTGAAAGGATACAACCCCGACGCACACCTTTCCTCACTTTAAACCACGCAGTATCCCCTTGTTCTGTTCGAACAACTGTCTCTTGATCTATGTACAGGTTCATTAGGAGCACAATTAAGTGTTCTGGAATCCCCATTCTTCACAACGTTATCCATAATGTGTTAAGAGACACATAGTCGAATACCTTTGCATAGTCAATAAAACACAGGTAAACATCTTTCTGGTATTCTCTGCTTTCAGCCAAGATCCATTTGACATCAGCAATGATATCATGGTTTCACGTCCTCTTCTGAATCCGGCTTGAATTTCTGGCAGTTCCCTATTGAAGTACTGCTGCAACCACTTTTGAATGATCTTCAGCAAAATTTTACGTGTGTGATAATTAATGACACTGTTCGATAATTTCCGCATTCAGCTGGATCATCTTTCTTTGGATTAGGCATAAATATGGATCTCTTCCAGTTGGTTGGCCAGGTAGCTGTCTTCCAAATTTCTTGGCATAGATGAGTGAGCACTTCCAGTGCTGCATCATTTGTTGAAACATCTCAATTGGTATTCCATCAATTCCTGGAGCCTTGTTTTTCACCAATGCCTTCAGTGCAGCTTGGACTCCTTCCTTCAGTACCATCAGTTCTTGATCATATGTTACCTCCTGAAATGGCTGAACGTAGACCAATTCTTTTCGGCATAGTGGCTCTGTGAATTCTTCTCATCTTCTTTTGATGCTTCCTGCGTTATTCAATATTTTCCCCATAGAATCCTTTAATATTACAACTCGAGGCTTGAATTTTTTCTTCAGTTCTTCCAGCTTGGGAAATGCCGAGCACGTTCTTCTCTTTCGGTGTTCTATCTCCAGGTCTTTGCACATGTCACTATACTACTTTACTTATACTCTAATCATATCCTAAGTGCACAGACCACATCTTAGAAATTATCTATAGTTGAGTCCATGAAAACTCTAGCAAGTAGCAATAATGGTAATAATGGCTATCATTTATTAAGAGATCACTTATGCATAAAGCAAGGAGCCTTGGTGGCTCTACCAGCCACTTGGTGGAAGAAAAGACCTGGTGATCTGCTCCCATAAAGATTACAGTCTTAGAAACCCTATGGGGCGGTTCTATTCTGTCCCATACAGTCACTACAAGTTGGAGTTGACCTGATAGCACACAACAACAACAGGCATAAAGCAGGAGTTCCTGGGTTGTGCAAATCGTTAACGAGCTCGACTACTAACTGAAAGGTTGGGGGTTCGGGTCCACCCAGAGGTATCTCGAAAGAACGACCTGGCAATCTACTTTCAAAAAATCAGTCACTGAAAAAATCAGAGTAGAACTGAAGCACAGTTCTACTCTGACACACCTGGGTTTGCAACTGATGGATCCATGAAGCACTTTGCTAAACAGCTGCAATCATTATTTCACTTGATCATCCCAGTATCCTTATAAAGTAGTATTAGTCCCATTTTGCAGAGAAGTAGACAGAGGCTCCGCGAGGTGAGAAACCAGCCTTGGGTTATACACCTGGAATCTAATGCTCTTAAGTCAGTACTTGTGTGCTGACTCCAAAGTGCTGTTAACCCTCTCCTAACGAG